CCCTCCCATTCTGTGATTCTGTGATTTGGCTCGCTCCAAAAAAGGTGAAGAGTTATAGCGATGCAAACGAATCCCACAACAGCAAAGTACTACTTCTGTGGGCTGAAGCACTTCTATTTATTCTCAATACTACCCAGATTTTAATGGAAAAGCCCCAGTTCGTACTGTTGGCATTTAATTATTAGCATCAAAGAACATTCTACATTTTTGGTGCAAAATCAGGCAGCTCTTCTCTCAAGTGCACAATTTATATCTAAGGCCCTAAATGTGCACAAGCTGTACATGTTTTTGCAAGTATAGCACTGCATGTTGTACATGGGAAAGCAATGAGAAAGAAAATGTCTTTTCTTCATTACCATCTGCTATTAAAATAATACAGAAAATGAAGGGAAAGCTTAACTTGGTTTGGCAAAGTGTTCCTCTCCTGCTCTCCTCCCTGCAAAGCCCCATCTAGTGCTACAACAATATTTCACGACTGCTGAGCCTGGGTGATTCTGAGCTCAGCACAGGACACCGCATCTGTGCAGTGTGTGGTCACATATCTGAGTGTGGCACGGACCACGGAGAGCCTGTGCTCCTCCTGGAAGATGCAAATATTGGCTGAAGCGAAGCAACACGCAGGAAGCATGAGGAAAGTGAGAGAAAACTACAGTGTTCGGGGGAGAAAAGCAAGATTATTGGAAAAGGGGCTAGATTAACCAGGAGGAGAACAGTCTTAGGGTTTAGATAGGCAGATGTTCTTCTGAGCAGTTTGTTGACTCACGACCTGCAAGGGTCTCCATCGCTAATTCAGTATTTTGTATAGACTGTAAAGGCGCTGAAAGAAACTACAAAGCATTTGATTTCTTCTCCCCAGCCCTTTTACAGTCCTGCTTCTAAGCTTTAGCAAATTCTGAAGCTTTTTATTTATCCCAAACAAGTAACAACTGATAACAGAATCTTTCCTATTTCTGGATGTTTAATTTTGTTTTGCCTCCCCTCTCTCTTTTTTGCCAGGAGGAGAAGAGGAGGAAATGTAAAAACTGCAGCAAACCAGATAGAATGTAAAAGTCAGCGCCAGCAATTCTGGTGACCGAGTCAACTGTATGTGAGGAGACGGTGTATCACACAGTTTGTAACTCTGAGAGCTGCTCTTCATGTTTTCAAAATGCGGAAACATATCAGGAACAAACATGATGCCATTTTCTAAACATACTGTTCCATAATGAAGGTTTCTACTGCATCATCCCCAGGCGTTCACCCTGTCATCGGCTTACACTGTCACAGCACTTCACTTCCAGATGAAGGCAGTTAAACTCCCCGCAAAGATCCCAACCCAACCTCCAAAAAACACCCAACCCTTCGCAACACCTTAACACTGCACCGTTTGTGACAGAGGTTTCGCTGTCGTGCAAGTTAAGTTCAATCATGTCATAAATTCTTCCCAACTGGATTAGTTAGAAGAGCTGCCAGTCCCTTAGAATTGCACCAACACAACCTAATTTTTAAAACGTTCTCAAACGGAAAGACACAGAAGAAATCCCAGGGTCTCACCTCTGCATCTTCCAATTCAACATCTAAAAAGTCAAAGTCTTTAAAAACTCCAAACTGTTGTTCACTGGTATTGTCTTCTACAGCCACCTCCTCCTCTTGAATCGCTTCTTCCGTCGCTGAAATCAGACTGGTTTGTTGATCCCCAACTTCCAAGTCTTCGTTAGAAGAAAACACAACCTGCAGATAAGGGTAAAAATAGAAAAAAGAACTTCCAGCCTCTGTAACGCCAGCAGCCAGCTATCCCGCTTCCTGCAATTTAATGTCGCTGGTGGCAATTAGCACCATAATGGTAATACGAGGAGGAGCACAGGCTGCAATTTGTTTCAAGACTAGTTGGATTCTACACCACATCTTTAAACGAGTGACACCATCCTCTCCTGAACATAACTGAGAGTCGTAAAGGTACAAATAAAGAGAAAGATCCCTGAACCTTCACTTCCATAACCACAGTATCATTTAAACTTAATAATCATAACAAACATAATAATCATCCACATGACACAGGCCATACCATTTTTGCCCACCAATTTCTGCGGAAGGATTGTATGTATTTACAAAGGTATCCAACCCTGGCTTCCAGTGATGATGACCTTCACAAACTACAAGTTGCTAATTTGCTGTTTATTTCCATTTGAATTTTTTACGATCTCTTCAGTTTCAGCTTTCAGGCATCTGATTTTATTTAACCTCCTCCACTAGATCAAAGATCCACCTCCCATCAATATTCTTCCCCAGCTGAGAACTTCTATGTCACAGTAAAAACCAATATTCTAGATGATAACCGAGGCAGGCACTCACTTTATTTTAAAAGCTCTTAATGTCATCACCACCATTAAGCTTGTTCTGCCAACGGGGGTCTTTTCTGTGCCATACCCAGCAGTACCACGATCAGCCTATTTTTACTCCATAGTTAAGATCATTGCTCCTACTGACATCCGTGTCACTTTGAAGGCACGCGATCCATTGGCCATTTTCAAGGGATCCTACGGCATTCTCAACACAGCATCAACATCTTTGTGGTCCTCAGCCACCGCTGTCCCTTCTCTCCAAACCACATCTTATCTATACTGGGCTAGACAGAGGTGTACTCAGAATAGGGGAGACCTCGCTCAAGCCCCTCTTCTAGCCAGGACGATTCAAATTCCCACGTGCAGCCCCACACATACAACACGCTATCGTGGCGTGGGCAGTGTAGCCCTGCTCTGCTGTGGAGAATGTAAAATGTTGAGAAAAAGGATTAAGGATTAGTCTGATCACTGGAGCTCCTCAGTAGTCAACTAATTTAATTTGGAGAGGAAAGATTTGAGTTCCAGTCCAAGGACTTAAAAAAAAATCTTCTATAAAAAAGTCCAAGGACTTAAAAAAAAAAAAAGTCTTATATAACCTCATAAAATAAAAATTAAGAATTAATCCTAGTAATTTATCTTTGCTTTAGAACATACAGTCCTCCACTATAAGACTGACCTAAATTCACTGAGACAAATTTGTTTTGGCTGAAAATATATTATTTTCAATTTAAACACTGTTCTGCAACCTGTCTAGTAAAGCAAGGTGCCCACTGGACTACTTGAGGAATAACAGTAATTAATTACTTACAGTTCCATCTTTTTTTAATTCTTCAACTGGATTTGTGAATTACTGAACCAGAACCCGTTTGCCAAACCCACTCTTTATAACCTCACCAATACCAGAAAACGCAACGACATTCTCACTGGTGGAATTCAAAAACCAAAACCAACCACCACCGCCACTTACTGAAGGGTTCTTGGGAAGACCGGATTCCGGACCACACAGAGAAAGCACGTTCATCAGCTTCTCCCTAGTTCTCCTCTGCAAAATACACCACAGAAAAGCACATAGCACGGCATCTGCTGGAGGTCCAGGTAAAAAAGTAAAACATCTGCATTTTTAACTGGTCACCTCGCATGCTGACATCCTCTACAAAGAATCTTACCGGTTTTTCTTTTCTTTTAGCTTTTATTTTATGGTCTATTCATTTATTATTTCACTGAGACACAATACAGACTTCGAATTATGCTTCAATAAATTATTTTCTCATACATTCATAAACACTGCCTGCAATATATGCATGAAGTGTTTGGGATGCAACGTACCTGAGAGAGCTGCGGTCTCTTCCAGCTGACAGGAACCAAGGCGTTTGAATTGGAGCCCGACGAGGTTGAAGACGTGCTCCGGGTGACAGCAATGACTTTGGGCTTCCCATTTCTACCAGCTGCGCTGTGTTGGTCACCATACTTATTCCCAATGATCGGTGTCTATCAAAGACAACAAAAAACTTTCTTAAAATTCAATATTAGTAAAGACTACACATTTGATGTTAGAATTTAGTATTATACAAAAAGTAGGAGGGTTTGTCTGCTTGTTTTTAAGCACTTGGTGAAGCCTGTGCCTACTCCACTGAGCGTCAGTCAGTCCACTGGGAAACACCAAGCTGAACGCTTCCACCCCGCGCCGCAGGCTGCCATTCTGCCCACTCGCGGTTTTTTGAATTATGCAAGTTTTCAGCTGGAAATGCAGCTATATTTTTTAAACACACCGTGTTCTGGGTTTAAAAGACGCACAGTTTCTCTACAGAACCATTCACATCGGCGAACAAATCGCTTTCACAGACCAGCAACGTCACTCACCCGCGCTCACTTCGGAAAACCAAGGAGCCCGTGCAGCCCTTCTGAGAGCAAACGCGGCTCCAGCGAACTCTGGGAATTCACCTTCTCTCCAGGATCTGCGTGCACTGAAGCTTCCAGTACGGAATGCACTTACCGATTTCAGCAATGCTCCCGAGACATCTGTGTCTCCAGCCATTACCTAGGGTCTGCTTACCTACCAGGAGCCCTGACTTTCCATTACTTCTACAGTTTCCACAGTTTCACATCCCTGTATTACACTGCAGTCATTTGGCTACGCTCCCTTTTCAGACACAGAATGAGTATCAGCTATATTAATATATTATTTTCAATTCTAACGAACCCTAACTGGGGGGAAAGGGTGCTGTTTTTAACTATAGGAGGGTTCTTCTCCAGTTGCGTCCATCTCACGCTGAGGTTCCTATATTCTGTGTATTCCTATATTCTGTATCCTCCTCTCCCCTCTAAATTTTCTCCCCCTCCCAAAGTCACACCAAAACTGCAGTACAGGGTTTTAATCCTCTCAGCCCTCGAATGCACAGCCCTTCATTTGATGAAAGCCTGCAAGGTTCGGCTGCCAGCAGCAGTCAGCTGCATTAGCCTGCTCTGAGTGAACTGAGACATCCTGGAGAATAATCCTACTGACTGTCAATAAGGGGGAAAAAGGCAAACACACAACACAGAAGAATTCAAAGTTTATCTTTCAGTATGGCTCTAATTATGCATATGTAAACTTCAACACCTGCCATTCTTAAAAATGGTATTTATTTTAAAACAGGAGGCTAACACAAAACAAATCTGAGTTTGCAACGGCAAGTCACTATTGCACAGTAATTTAAATATAATGATTACCTCCGATATATCAAAATGAAAGTCTAAGGTCTTCCCAGGCAGCTCCTTGGAGACATTATTGAAAATTTTTGTGAAGGAGATTTCAGGAGAACCTATGTCGCCTCCGTAAGACTTCGGAATATCATTCGGCACAACAAGGCTTGCCGACCGAGACACCACCAGCTTCAAAATATTCAGGGCTTCCTTCCAGTACGGGCTCTAGGGAGAACACACCATCACAGACCCGTCACTTCGAACCCGCCAGCCGTTGTCACCGCGCGGCGGGATTCACGGCAAGATTCCCAAACCCCAAAGCTCTGGCAAGGCACCAGGTCATCCCACGCTGGGCCCGGGTCACCGGCTCCCGGGCACAGCCCGAGCCACGTCAGATCCCACACCACGTCCCTCTGAAGTATCAACCCCTCATGCCCCAGAAGGTAAAAACGGGTAGGATTTAAAAGCAAACCAACTTTCCCTGGTAGCTTTAATTATTTTACACTTCTGGGCAGATTAAACCAAATTTGAAACAGACAAAAACATTTTGTGCTTTGTATTTCCTCATGCATTTCAAAAATCTTGAAAAAAAAAAAAGGCAAAAAACATTTACAAGGTTTTTATACAGTATTAAACCAATGGAGTGCTTAAAAAGTCAGGGCCAAACTATGAGAACATCACTGGCAGAGCCTGAGTTAAGTGCACTCTCCTGAAAAAGATGATTAAGGTAATGTAGAACATGTCTCCTCCCCCAGCTAACTAGTGGTAGGACGAGAGGCAATGGCCTCAAGCAGCATCAGGGGAGGTTTAGAGTGGATATGAGGAAAAATGTCTTCACTGAAAGCGTGGTCAGGCATTGGACCAGGCTGCCCAGGGCAGTGGTGGAGTCCCCATCCCTGGAGGGGTTCAAAAAAAGAGGAGATGTGGTACTCCAGGACATGGTTTAGCAGGCGTGGTGGGGATGGGGTGACGGTTGGACTTGATGACCTTAGAGGTCTTTTCCAACCTTAATGACTCTGTGATTCTGTTCTATGATTCTATGACTGTGGAGTGGATCACAGCAGAGCTTTACACCCAAAGCAGCACCCTGGGAGGGTGAAGAGTTACACTCCTGCAAGTGTCAGGATTCCACCTGAAACTTCAGATCTTCCAGTTTTTGAAATTCGCAGGATGTCTAGTGTTTTTGTTTGCTTGCTTGTTTGCTTTAATTAGGATGCCACGTTTGTTAAAATACTTCTTTTTATTACATTAAAAATATAAGCACCATTTTCAAGGCTCTAAGTAGTACACACCTCTTTGTAGGCAATGAGAGTCCCCAACAAACTCCTGAACTTCTGTGCATCATAAATATCTAATATA